TATATATATATATATATATATATATATATATATATACACATATATACACAGTATATAATGTGCATAGCATGATACAGCATCCCTAGATTGCAGGAATCAAAAGCCCTGGAAAATGATGCCTGCCCATCTCATGAGGTCTGACATATATTTATCTGACGCAAAGTAGACATGTTTAAGGAACGCTCTGCTAATAAACAGTCTGCCAGTATTAGCCTGTGATTATTCTGATGACAAGGTGCGGCTCTATTAATCTAGACCACTAATTACAACTCTTCGCAACTTAACAGAGCCCAACAAAGTTGCTCATTACAGGACGTCCCCGAAGGTAACAAATTATTTAAATTACATTTCTTTAATTGGAAAATCACAAACAGTGGAGCGGGCAGGGAATTTGGCGGGTATGCTGCGGGTGTATCCAGCTGGGCGAGCGATGGGGAGAGAGTGAAATGAGGGCTCAAGAGGGCAGAGGAAGACACTCCAGCTGCTGGCGTCACACCCACACCCCAGCAGGCACTGATTAACACCGGTCATATGAGACCACGCAAGGGATTGAAATCCTCAAATAGAACAGTCAAGCTCGGTGAAAGTAACCATGACAGATTTAAAGGAGCAGGAGGTCATGATTTTAGATTTTGTAACTGTAACGCAAATAGTTTAGGAGGAATCACATGCAGAAGTGAATTACTTCGGGTTAGGGGCTTGTTTGAATCCCTAACCTTAAGTATGAGCAATAGTGATTCTTGAAACAAATGGCTCTTATGAGCCGATTCTTATTAAATAATCAGTCAGTAAGATTTAAAACCACTCAAGATTTATTGGTTTGAACTGGTGTTCAACACCTCACTCACTGTGTTGCTCCATATTTAGGATCAGGTCACATCTTAAGGCAGGATACTACAGGTAATAACTAGAGCCCGACCGATATATCATTTTGCCAATTTTATCGGCCGATATGAGCCTGTCGCAGATATATCGTATCTTTATCTATTTTTTACAGAACACAAAACGCAGATAAAAGACTAGTAAATTATGTAATTACGTAGTTTGTCCAGTAGAGAGCGCTCCATCGTTTGCTACTGGCGACCTGTATGAAATGCTTTAAAGGGGTCATATGATGCTATTTTAAAGATCATTATTTTGTGTATTTGGTATAACAGAATATGTTGACATTCTTTAATGTTCAAAAAACACATTCTTTTTTCAAATACTGTACATTATTGTAGGTCCTCTATGCCCCGCCTCTCTCAAACACATCGTTTTCAACAAAGCCCCCTCTTGACATACGCAGTCTGCTCTGATTGGCCAGCTGACCCAGTGCATTGTGATTGGCCGAACACCACAAGCACGCGTCGGAAATGTAACACCCCTTACCATAATCGCGAGCTTGAACTTTCAAAGTAAATATCAAGACAGTTAATAATGTCATTAGTTTTATCATCAGTTCAAGCCCAAAAGTGCAACAGAGTCACATGACAGACACAGTGATGATGCAGTACACAAGCCGCGGTTAAGACTGACGTGCTATGATTTCTGACAGGCAGTTCACTCTCCTGTGATGTGACCCTGTTCCCCTCACACACACACGACGCGTTACTCTGCGCTGCACAAAACTCCGCATTTGAACAGTCAATAGCAAATACTTAAACTAATAACAAAACATACTTACAGTCGCTGATTCAGAAGTGCCAGATAGTCATAGCAAAGTCATAGCTTTTGTGCACAGCCAGCCTTGTACTCTTCTAGGTTAAAAAAAAACTGTCATCCATAAAATGCATTGCACAAATTCGAACATCTGGGTTGTGCTGTTCGGTTGTAAATAAATCTTAACCAATGATTCCTAATTGCATATCTCTTTGGATTTGAGACTTTTGTCTTTGCAACTTTACAGATATTCTTTATGCACCAAGAGCTTGTAACACTCCAAAGAGAAAGGAAAAATGTAAACTGCATCATATGACCCCTTTAAAGCTAAAGTGTATGGAATACCATTGAAACTTTGAACGTCCATATCTCCGTAATGGAGAATGCCGAATCGAGAGTATGTCTCCCGTTTCGAATGAGACCACCCCAACATCGTTAGCCCCCGGGGTCCGGGAGTTATGGGAGGTTAATTTCGCGGTCGGGCGCTGACCAATCTGGTGATCCCGGTTGGCTACCGACGTGCGAAGGGTGGCATTCGAGAGGGCTCCTCGAACTGAAGGGATCCCCCGAATTTGGTGGAGATCCGCCGCGTTCGCGAGATAGTGATACCAGCTAACACTTTCACTTCAGTGAGGAGGTCTCTTGTTCAGGCAGCAGCATTCAAGCGTTGTATTATTCGACCGTAAGTGACCTGGGAAGTGGACTTCACATGTCATTCTGCCATGATTCCAGTTCAAAGGGAACGTACACGTTACATTCAAAGGGCATTAAAGTGTGCGAGATGTGAATTTAAATTGTATTTATTTACAGAGGTATATTATGTCACACTTCTCTAGTAAGTTTCGTCTGTGTGTGAAGACCGTAGCGCAAATCCGTGAATGAATGTTCCGAAGTGAAAAACTTAAACGGAATAAAGTTGAATGGAATTTAATTGAAATAAAGTTGAATAAACTTCAACTTTACTGTCCAGTGCACTGATATCAGACTCATATTGGATAACGTTCATTGTTAAATGCCCTGCCTCCATTACATATCTTTGTCACGTCATTATAAGTGTTTGATCACCACATTTGAGTGATCACTGAATCGCTTATAATTATTTTTTATTTTATCTGTGTAGTACATGAATGAATAAAAATGTGCCAATGTATACATTGGTTGTGTCTTTTGTGTTCATGTGAAAAGGTTTTTCAGGGGGAGAACCACAAGCAACATAACTTGCCAGTTTTGGATATATTGTTTTTAATTTATTGCACCAGTGTGTAATACTATGTTGTAGTGTGTGTGTTTTTGAAAGCTTGTGTGTGATGTCTGAGGGAAAAAGTTAGTTTTTTCAGCAAGAGTGAATGGTTTTGAGTGTAGAGCTTCATTTTGACTGGAAAATAGGATGCTTGGGGAATACTGTTTTGAGATTACGAGGCATAGTTTCAAGAAATGTGTTTAAGCAATCGAGAAAAACTGTAATTGTCTTCATGTACTGGGATTAATCAACTAGGGAAAGTACTGTATGTTGATATCTATTAGTATTAGTCCATATTTTTACCGTTCACCTATAATGTCTTAAACTGCAGTCACCTAAATTGCAGTCACATTTAACATTGTTTGATCATTTTTTTGCAGTCAAAACCCAGTAATTTCAATAGAAACACATTCAAATGGGCAAAAAATAGGGCAAACTATTTCCCAACACAAATTTTGCAACATTTTTGCTCTCAAAATGTTGCTGTCTGTAGAAAGATGCACAAAAACTGGAAAGAGAAGGTTTGAGAGAACTGGAATGCTGCCATTCAGAAAGTTGTACACATCTCCTGCCTCTTGCATTTGTTAATTATGTTGGTTAATTTGATTATGCCTTCAGGTCCACAGTTTAGTATTCTCATCTCTCACGATTCACCAAAACTCCAAATTTTTCTGAAGTCATAATAGCTTTGAGTGAAGAATGGCTCAGAGATGATGATTTTTAGTAAATAGCAGAAATATTGGTCTGTTTCTCGTAAAAAAAAAAAAAATAATAATAATAATATACTGCACAATATTACTTTTGTGAAACTTGTATGATGCTTTTGTATCTTTTATGAAACTTAAAATAATTATAACATGTTTAAAAGATGCCTTTGCAATTCAGTTTCATTTTTCATGTGTTGCAGAAGAAGTCATGTGGGCTTGCAAGTGACACAAGGCTGGAAAAATTACTTACAATATTCATTTCTGGGTGAATGACTCATTTAAGTCAACAACAAGTGATGAGAGATCAGAATAGTATAACCACAAAGTTACGCTCTTAAACTCTGAAGTATAAACTTCAGGATTTCATCTTCTGTGACTCCAGAGGGCAGAAAGCAGCTGCAGAGCAAATAGTTTAGAGATCAAACAGCAAGGAGAACAAGTAGAAATAATTTAGAACGTTTGCGGTCTTACCTTTACTTGACCCACAAAAGCATTTGCCTCTTCCTCTTGAACTGTGAGATTAAGGGGCAGCAGAAGACCGAACTCAGGGTCATTATCATTGACATCAGTCACCATTATATTCACCGTAGCGGTCGAGGTCTGAAAACAAGAAACCTTCAGGTTACTTCAATCATTACATGGATGCCTCTAAATAAATACTTTCCAGAGTTTCAGTCAGTAATCCAACGATGTCAACAAATCTGAAATGCGGACCTTGAGGCCTCTGTGTGATTTTGTCTGGTAATGGACTGTCTTGGCATTCACAAATAATTATCAATTTCCACTGATTAATTTACACAGAACTTGCGAAATTGCTAACATATTTGCATTCATCATCAAGCTATGAATGGGGTCTAATGAAAAATATCTACAGCTGTTGAGCGGATTAGTGTTTCAGAGTATAGATCGCCTCAACAAATTGATCGCTGCAAACAAATTAGCATGCTGGCAGGGAGAATTCTGTCTCCTCAATAACAACAATTAACCATCTACAGTCACAATAATTCACAAAGTGTCTCATTTCTAAAGATGAGGAATGGAAACATAACATTTAAACATTCATACATACACCGCAAACATAATTAGCATACCTCTACTGTTACACATTTATTATGCAAATATAGTTTGACATGATTATTTTAGGGGAACACTCCAAATGTGTGAAACTAAGTACTACCATGAAAACAACATTTTAGTACCAATATATATACATACACACACACACAGAAATGTAGCAAGAACATCGGTAAAATAGTCCATGTGACATCAGTGGTTCAACCGTAATTTTACAAAGCAACGAGAATACTTTATGCACAAGAAAACAATAACTATTTATTCAACAAATCTTCTCCCGAGTTACCATCTTCCGCCATTCAACATAATCAGCGTTGTTTAATTGGTACTCTCCAAAATGGAGGGAGACGGTAACTTGGGGGGAATAATTGTTGAATAAATTATGTTATTACTGTTTTCTTTGTGCACAAAAAGTATTCTCATAGCTTCGTGAAATTACGGTTTAACCACTGATGTCACATGGACTATTTTACTGATGTCCTTCTGGACTTGGGAACATTGCAGTTGCATTGCTGTCTACAGAGGGTCAAAGAGCTTTCAGATTTTATAAAAAATATCTTAATTTGTGTTCTAAAGATGAAAGAAAGGTCTTATGGGTTTGGAACGACATGAGGGTGAGTAATTAAATTACAGAATTTTCATTTTTTTTATTATGAAGTTTATAACAATATAACTATTTATAATTTAAAAAATGTCAGTAATAACTATTCATTTAATGTATTAATATATTATATACAGTAATAATTTACAGTAATGACTTAATTTGAAATGTATATAATGCCATAATCCAAAATATCCTAAGTGTTCGAAAATAATTATCATCAAGATAATAACCTGTTAACCTGCTCCCCCCTTTTTGGGACTCACAGCTGAAAATGACCTACCTAACTTAAAATTGTTACAGTTCCTGACTTCAGTGTGCTACACACACAATTTTGGTGTCTTTGGAAGCCACACTGTGGGCTTTACTATCCATTATCCAGAGTTGATAATGCTCAAAAATATAACAAGTTAAAGACACTGAAGTGCCTTGAAAAAACTTGTACCACACTGCATTTTTTTTCCATATAAAAATACATTAAATCAGTCCTGGAGCAATCCAGAAAAATAATGGGTTGAAAGTTTATATTTCAAATCTGAAGATGCAGCATTGAAAAATGAGATTCCTGCAACCATTTTTCTGAGACTATGTCTGAGACTACAGGTGCATCTCAATAAATTAGAATGTCATGGAAAAGTTCATTTATTTCAGTAATTCAACTCAAATTGTGAAACTCGTGTCTTAAATAAATTCAATGCACACAGACTGAAGTAGTTTAAGTATTTGGTTATTTTAATTGTGATGATTTTGGCTCATATTTAACAAAAACCCACCAATTCACCATCTCAACAAATTAGAATATGGTGACATGCCACTAGTCCAGCTGTAGATGCGTTTACAGCTGTAGATGCGTTTATGACTCGTTATTACAATGAATCTAGTAAGTACTGCGTTTTATGCATGTTTTGATGTGTACTACTTACACAAATGTAGCAAATACATTCCTCATAAGCTTTCCATTGATCTATCGTCGATGCTTGAGGCTTAGACCTTTAGAATTATATATAGTTTGTCAAGATTAATTTGATCCCTTTTCATTGAATCTATTGATAAACATTGACGCGTGCAAACAAAGAGCGTCCAGGTGCGGGTTAACAGGATAACCACCTTCTTGGTTTTGATTTTGGGGTTAAAAAAAACACAATAAGTAATGTTACTGACAGAAACAAACTGTCCAATTGAGACTAACTCAAAATGTGTGTGTGCCATGCAGTGTTTTAATACAGTATTTTCAACCACTTAGAAGAAGCACATTGTCAGAAATAGCCTAATGGCTATGAAATGAGTTAGGCACAAGGGATGTGCTTTTTTCTGTCTTCTTTCTCACTCTCTACAAACAGCAAAACATTTTTACATCAATCAATCAATCACTTAAACTTTTGACCACTTATGTTTTGTCTTTACACAAGTTAGACTTCGAAACACAAACACTATGATTTTGTGATTACTGTGAACAAATGTTTTTGCATCAGGTCAGGTTCTGTAGTGTAACTTCAACTAGGTTCAATTCAGAAGCACCAGCCAATTCAAATTAGAGCTACACAGTGTGTGAAAGTTGATTCTGAGAACATTTCACACAAATGATTGCTTCTCCTCCTACCAGGCCTTCAGATGCTCTTACCAGACTGCACAAATGACAATTACATAACGAATCAAACAAAACAAATATTATTTCAAGAATGATCGGACAAGTGAACAAACGAGTAAATGAGTAAACAAACAAAAACAAATTAACAAACAAGTGAGTGAGTCAAGCTTGTTTGATGTTATCACCAGGTTGCACAAAAAAACAAGCAATAAATAAAAAAAGTGAACAGATCAGCAGTGTATCAGTATGATCTATCATTAAAAACAAACATCTTTTTGTGAAATGTTTTGCTCGAAGTGTGTAAATGTGTATTTACATCCAAACATATGGGAAATTTGGACAAATAAACAAGCAGTCTGAGGTACTTCATCACAATAAATAATTCAAACAATTAAAAAGGCAAGCGATCCAAAACCCAGCATACTAAAAACCAAATGAAAACCAGGAATCCAGAAAGTAAGAGTTTTTCTCTCACACCATAATAGCTTAGCCTCTTGTCAGATCATTCTGCATCCATTTATGTTTAGTCAGAGTCAATCTGGTTTCTTCCCCTAAAACATAAAACGGGGGGGGGGGGGGGACCCTAGCGGTGCAGGGGAG